CCGCAGGGACCCGGGAGAGGACTGATCTGTGAGACGGTTCCAGACGAAGGGAACAGCACAGAGTCCATTCAGGCAGCTTTATCCGGACATTGGACACTTTGTCTCCCTGATAAAGACAGTTTGGTCTCTGTTGAAGCTCCGACTGGCGCTGGGAGACTTCCGCCTTCGTGTGTTTCTGTGAGTCCACTTAAACTCGTTTATCCTCTGCTGTTTCACTCCGGTTGTATTTCATAGTGACACATACCGGGGAAGGTAGCTGCTGCTTCATCGCTGGTTTTTATTGTTTTTTTGTTGTTTATTGTTATTATTCAACCTTGAGTTAAAGGTGCATACCGCCCCCTACTGCACCGGAGCTCTGTTCGTAGGAGACTGCTTTACATAATAATACAATAACTAACTTAATACATACATAATTAATAATAAGGAAAAAGAAAATCTAACTAAATAAATAATAATAGTTCAAAATAAAAGCTAACTGGGTCCTGGAGGCTGTTTTTAAAAGGAGAATGTTTTAGAATTCTAAAGTCATGTACCTGTGTGATCTGGATGGATTTGAATATACAAAGCGGGACAAATACCTTTTGAGGGTGTTGTTAGTGGGGTGTAAAAAGGCTTTGACCAGAAAATGGCTTAAGAAAGACAAACCAACAATAAATGAGTGGATTGATATAATGTATAATATGTTATGGAGAGAATTACATTCAAACTAAGGAACCAAACTGATATTTTTGAAGAGAACTGGTCAAAATGGCTCAGCTATGTGTCAACTGTAAGACCTGATTTCATATAGATCGCAAAGATAAGGTCGAATCCTTTAAAAAGAAATGTTTTTTCCCAATTTTCAAGCAGCATCTGTGCTTATGTTGACTGCTGTTTTACTTAATGCACAAATCCTCCCCTCCACATGTTATGTTGTATGTTTTGTGCCCAGCTGGCACATATGTGTATGTTACTAAAAGAAAACAAATAAAAAGTAAATAAAAAAAAAGAAAAAAGAAAAGCTAATTAAATCCTATAATATAACTCAAACCTCACAAAAACAGTGTTTAAACTGTCTCTTCTGTTCACACCCTGTGCATTGATAGATTTCTGCACACTGCTATCCCTGTCCCACCTGTCCTGACATTTCTTCATCGTTTTCATCAGCTTCTCCTTTACCAAACAGTATATTTATTACCCCCTTTACACAGCACAATCTCACATCTATTACATTATAAACACTGATGGATTTGTAGCATTAAGTCTTTAGTTATTATTATTAGATTTTATATTTTAAATACTGTAAAGGTCTGCTGCAGAATCAACACAGCACTCTGTCTCTGTCTGGTTTTACTTCCGCCACACACTGCTATACTATAATATTTGCGTCTTATGTAGTGACTTGCCAGATGTCGTTTCCCACTCTCTTCCCATTCTCTTTTTAATTCTTATTAGTTCTTTACACCATTAAATAAAGTATTAATTAAATGATTGTATGAATAATAATTAAAGAGAATCCAATCAGACAAACAACAAATAGAAAACAAACCCTGTGCATTCATGGTGTTCTGCACGCTGTAATATTTTCCTTCCTCACCTTCCTACCTCACCAGGTGTGCCGCCCGTTGAGCTGCACATTCATAGTAGGGATGGGTATCGACCCGCTTCAAAATTTCTCAAAACCCCAATATCAACAAGGTCCGAGCTAATTCAGAATAGCGGGTACTATAATGTTATGTCTCGAGTACACAGAAACAATTCCTCTTGTTACTCGATTACTTAAAACCATCTCTACAAATTACCTGCAT